TGCATGTCAGAGCACAAACCAAGCCATGAAGTCCAAGGAATTGTCTGTAGACCTCGGAGACAGGATTGTATCGAGGCACAGATCTGGGGAAGGGTACAGAACAATTTCTGCAGCACTGAAGGTTCACAGAAGCATGTAGTCTCTGTTACCCTTAATGGAAGAAGTTTGAAACAACCAGGACTCTTCCTAGAGCTGGCCTCCTGGCCAAACTGAGCAATTGATGGAGAAGGGCTTTGGTTAGACTGGTGACCAAGAAGCTGATGGTCACTCTAGTTGAGCTCCATGATCATATATGCAGATGGGAGAAACCTACAGAAGGACAAACATCACTGCAACACTCCAAGTTCTTTCACGTTGTCATTCTGGGGTATTGTTTGTAAAATTGAGGAAAATAATAAATTTGATCCATTTTGGAATAAGGCTGTATGTAACATGACAAAATGTGGAAAAAGTGAAGCGCTGTGAATAATTTCCAGATGCACTGTAAAATACCTTAAAAAGTAGCATTGCCTATTTCTCAGGTGTTTCGCATTATTTTGTCCAACCTCTGTATATTCATTTTGCCTTGTGACACATTTGAAAATTAGGTATTTGTTTTTTGAATGAATGGTCTTTTTGTTCTTTGTGTCAGATTTGACCGGATGGGTTCTGGGGGTCCGCTCTTCATTGACGTCACTTGGCATCCGGCTGGAGATCCGGGCTCGGATAAAGAAACATCCTCCATGATAATAACAAGCACAGCGGTCAATTACTGCGGCCTGGAGAGCGTCCTGCATTTGACATGCTGCAATCAGACACAGGAGAAAATCACAGCCCATTTAAATAAAGCCAAGCGGCTAGGCCTAAAGAATATCATGGCCTTGAGAGGAGGTATGAACAGTGACTGATCTGAAATCTGTTACTTTGGTCCAAAATCAAATGAGCTCTATTTCAAACCCTTCTAAGACAGCATCGTAGTAGTCAGGGTTCCTCATAAGTGACTGACTTTAAACACTTGTGAATGGCAGCTAGAGTTTTACTGTAATGTATGTAAAATTGTCTGTTTTTAAATAGATTGAATTTCAAACTACATTTGAACTATTGATACTTTTTGGTACTAAATAAAATTACATTAAAAAAAATCTGCATTTCGTAAGTCCATCCGCCATCATCGTGCGTCATGAGCGAATCTTATTGTCCTTTTTTCTGCAGATCCTATTGGGGAAGATTGGGTGGAGGAAGATGGCGGTTTTAACTATGCTACAGATCTGGTCAAGCACATTCGCTGTGAATTCGATGACTACTTTGATATCTGTGTTGCAGGTGAGCATTAGAAAGACGAGCAATTAATGGTGTTTGCTAAATTGCTATTACCTGGTGGATGATAAAGTTATAATTAGTCATAAATATTTCCCTGTTGAGCTGATTTACTACATAAAGTTGGCAAAAAAAAAACATAGACTTGCATTGAAGTAGAATCTGTTTGTTCATGGTCATTTTTGCATGCAAATCTTTTAAATTCACCAGTTCAAACCTATCACAAATGTAATGATAGGTTACCCCACGGGCCACCCAGAGGCGGAGAGCTACGAAGATGACCTCAGGCACCTGAAGGAGAAGGTTGATGCTGGTGCGCACTTCATCGTCACCCAGCTCTTCTTCAGGGCAGAAACCTTCCTCAAATTTGTCAAAGACTGTCGGGCCATTGGCATCACCTGCCCCATTCTCCCGGGAATCTTCCCTATTCAGGTACATGAACACACGAAAAGTCTGACCAATCACAGCATCTCAGCGATGTGGACGTCATCCAATTATCTTAACCAAACACTGGTCATATGATGTCATGTCATTGCAAAAGACCAATAAAGGTCCACTCTTAATGCACCTTATCAAACGACATAATGGATTGTCCTGGAATTTATGCAATGGTGTGATTAATGCATTTATTGCACTACATTTTAGTACAAATAAAGGTCATACAGAGTAGTGTTATCGGACAAGACTACTGGTTATCTAATACAAACTACTGGTTATCTATAAGCCAGCATCGTAGTTTTTGACCTATATATTGTTTCAGTCATTTTGACCCGGATAGGGTTTTCTTTTACCTGAAAATTATTCATTTTTGACCATGAACAAAAATTAGGTAAGGGATTACGATGTTGGTGGAGGGTTGAAGGCAAAGATTACCTCATGTCTCATTCAGCCGTGAGAAAACTTGACAGTACAAAGCGCGTAATATTACAATAAAGCTTCTCACTCAGTCTGCAATAGTGTAATGAAACGCGCTGATGACGTATCATGTCTGCGCGAACCGTGTGTGCAGAGGTATGCAAATACATGCGTTAATATACAGGAGAAATACGATTGGACGAACATTTTCCTATGCTTTCCACAGATGATATAAATACATGCGTACATACATACACATAGAATTACACAGTGCCCCTTTTGACATTCCTGTTCTAAAGTCATACAGTAGCCTCGTGTGAGAAACCTCAAGTTGAAATTTAAGCAATTATTTACATTTTCCCCTCTGTTGAACTTAATTTGTGCATATGATCATTCAGACTTGTTGCGATAAATTCTGTTTAAAATAAAACACCGTTTCTTCATGTAATCTCAGACAGACTGATGATGAGGATCAGATCAGATCTCTGTGTGGAGCACTGGCTGCTGTCAGACAAAAATCTCACTGGATTATTACAATTAATGGCAAAATGAATGTTTGGAAATGTAAACTGATATTTCCTACTGACACACTACAGCAAAACATAGAAATAACTGACTTAAAACCATTTTTAGCTGCTGAAAATACTAGTGTTCTAATCATTTTGGCCACTGTACAAAAAAAGCATTCTGGAAAATATAATGGAGGAAGTTTAGATGTCAGTGAATTCCTCTTTGATTTCAGTGGACCGTACAGAAGACTTCATATTGATTCTCTTTTTTGTTATTCTTCAAAGTTTGAATCTCCGTTGTTTGCGCAGGGGTATCACTCACTGCGTCAGCTGGTCAAACTCTCCAAACTGGAAGTGCCGGAGGAGATCACGCAGGTAATTGAGCCCATTAAGGATAATGACGCTGCCATTCGCAGCTACGGCATCCAGCAGGCGGTGGAGATGTGTAAGGTTCTTCTGGCCAGCGGAGAGGTCCCGGGCCTGCACTTTTACACGCTCAACAGAGAGGTGGCCACCATGGAGGTGCTCAGACAGCTGGGCTTATGGGCAGAGGATCCCCGGTGAGTGACTTCATTCTGAGAAAGCGATAAACTGCTCCTGTTCTTTCTAACAGGAAATACATTCACTACTTCCTGATGCACATTGGCGATAAATCAGCACTTGCCCACATGAAAAATGGATTGTAGTTTAATGCCCTTGATTAATAAAGAAATACCCTAAGAGACTGTGCATTACAGTGATTTTACCATGGCATGACATGAAGGCATGTCATGGGGCCTGTAACTGGGGCTTCAAGTTTTTTATTTACAGTATAATTTTGGGGTAAAATATGGCCTGGAAGTGCTTTTGACAGGCTTCATATGAGTCCCCTCTTTGCATTAATCTTGTTACCTTTAGGCGACCTCTGCCCTGGGCCGTCAGCGCTCATCCGAAGCGTAAGGTAGAAGACGTCAGGCCAATCTTCTGGGCTTCCCGACCCAAAAGCTACATCCACAGAACGCAAGACTGGGATGACTTTCCCAACGGAAGATGGTAAATGCATTGAAATGTTTCTTTTCTGACCTTTTGTGTGTGTGTGGTCCAAGATGTAGAGGCCAAAAAAGTTCATTAACATGTCTGCCATCTTATCAGGGGTAACTCCTCGTCACCAGCCTTTGGCGAGCTGACAGACTACTACCTGTTCTACCTGAAGAGTAAATCTCCGAAAGAGGCCCTCCTGCAGATGTGGGGTGAGGAACTAATGAACGAGGAGAGTGTTTATGAAGTCTTCACCAACTACATCACCGCCCAAACCAACCGCAATGGACACAAGGTAGAGTTGTACAGCCAGTATCAGTATCAGACTACACTGTGGTAGGTGTATTTATGTAGGCACAATTGATTCATGTGAAGGAACATCAAGTAATACACAAATATAGAGCACAACGTGACCCAAACAAGTCAAGACAAGGAAGAACTTATGAAGGGGTGTTGTTTGGAACAACACAAAGGAAGATAATTGTTTGCAGTTGCCAAGTAATGTCACAACTAGGTACATTTTGTACATTAATGTTGAATTCAACTGATGTGCAGAGGTCTGTTTATCAGCAAACGTGATTCATTCATTCTTAATTTACAGACAGAACTATCTGTTCTTATAATGTTGGTCTTACACAGTCTTTTGTTGTTCTTTTGTTACATAATGAGAAGCAGCTGTTTTTTACTTTTGGTTTGTGTTCAGTCTCCTAATAAAAGAAAATAATCGAATGAGAATTGCAATTTGTAACATTTAAAGGGATAGTTCACCCAAAGATAAACATTTTGCGATCATTTATTCACCCTTAAGTTGTTCCAAGACTGTATTAGTTCTTTCCTCTGTTAAACACAAGAGAAGATATTTTGAAGAATGTTGGTAACCAAACAGTTGCTGGTAGCCATTGATTTCCACAGTATGAGGGGGAAAAAACTAAGTCTAAGGGAACCAGAAACATTCTGGTTACAAAACCTTCTTCAAAATATCTTGTTTTGTGCTCAACAAAGGAAAGAAACTCATGCAGGTTTAGAACAACTTGAGGGTGAGTAAATCATTGCAAAATGTTCAATTTCGGAAGAACTGTCTCTTTAATTCCCTGGAATATACAAAGGGCATTTCCACATAGTTATTCAATATATGAACCACTTTTTTTTTTTTATCATACTGCCCCATTCATGTCAACATTTCAGTTCTGTATGTGTCACTACTCCAGTTTTGCTTGCATGATTGCTATCCTTCTGCTTTCCGTAGGTCATGTGTCTGCCGTGGAATGACGATCCTCTGGCTCCAGAGACCAACCTGCTGAAGGATGAGTTGGAGAAGGTGAACCGCAGAGGGGTTCTGACCATTAACTCTCAACCCAACATTAACGGCAAACCCTCATCCGACCCCATTGTGGGCTGGGGCCCTGCGGGGGGATACGTCTTTCAAAAGGTCAGCACAAACATATTCAACAGCGCTGTAAGACTAGATTACTCAAATGAAAATTCAGGCATCATTTATGTCATGCAATGTAAATTAAGATGTTTGCAAGAATGAGCAAACTGCTTTTTCCGTACAACGAAAGGAGACTGGATTTGTTAAGCTCAAAAATTATTTAAAGGTAGTCTGTATGACATGTATTGCATTCCAAGTCTTCTATTAGTGGTCGGCCGATATATCGGCCTTGAAACATGATATTTGGCATTTTTTTCAAACAATATTTTTTAAGAAAAAATCTTCTTAAAAATTCATTAAAATTAATAAAATTATATCTGCTTTATAACCGCCATCGGCCACCCTGCTTTCCAAGATATCGGCATCGGCTGTCAAAAAAAACAAAAAAAACTGTATCGGTCGACCACTACTTCTGATGGAAACTTAAGTCTTAATGCTTAAAGTCATCTTTTCCACTCTAAAATTCAACACTTTAAAATCTCATGCTTTGCGTTTAATTCTAGACAAAAACATAAACGTGTTTCATTGTAATCACTCTTTCATGGTTATTATTGTTAACTAAAAAAAAAAACTAAAACTATAAAATAATGTTCTTGTTACTTGCAATAAAATAAACATTAACTGTAATAAGAATAAAATAATGTATTAATTCAGTTAGTATGTTTAAAGGGTTAGTTCACCCAAAAATAAATTCTGTCATTAATTACTCACCCTCATGTCGTTTCAAACCCGTAAGACCTCCGTTCATCTTCGGAACACAAATTGAGATATTTTTGATTAATTCTGAGAGCTCTCTGACCCTCCCGTAGACAGCAATGTAATTGCCACGATCAACGTCCAGACACGTAGCAAGGAGATCGGTAAAATAATCCATGTGACATCAGGGGTTCGTCCGCAATTATACGAAGCTACGAGAATACTTTTTGAGCGCAAAAGAAAAAAAAATAACGACTTAATTCAACAATTCGTCTCCTCCGCATCACCCTGTAGCGCCATTTTGGAGAATATCCACTGAACG